GCACAAATTTCAGGGCAACTTTCCCATCAGAATCGCCTGGGATGGAAATCCGACTTCACAGCCTAACTTCAGTGGTAGCTGGAGGGATGTTTGTACGTGTCTTTCCTTGTGCCAGGTCTTCCTGAACTCATTTGAATTTAGAGGTTGAGAGGACCCCTAGAGATCCTCCAGCATCTGCCCTCCTGCCGAGTGTAGAAGTCTCCTGTATACTTGACCCCAGCAAAGAATGCTCAGCCTCTGCTTCCTTCCCTCCAGGGCAAACATTTGCCCTCTTGTAAGGTCAGTTTTTGAAGAGAGAATCTGGGAATTGCACCTGTTGATCCAGGTTGCGCTTTCCGGAGACATGGAGATCCGTGGTCCCACTGGGTGGGTGCCTGGCTCGGAAAATGACACAAAGTGAATGTGGCATTCTCTTTGTCATGGGCAGCCTGTTGGGGTTCTTGGCCCTCTTTCGTGTAGTGGGTTCAGCACTCCCTCTTTGTGGGTGTTTTCCTGGGCTGTTGTTTCCTACCATTTTAATTTTTTTTTTTTTTTTGAAATGGAGTCTCACTCTATCGCCCAGGCTGGAGTGCAGCGGCCTGATCTCGGCTTACTGCAAGCTCCGCCTCCCAGGTTCACACCATTCTCCTGCCTCAGCCTCCCGAGTAGCTGGATTACAGGCGCCCGCCACCTCGCCCGGCTAATTTTTTGTATTTTTAGTAGAGACGGGGTTTCACCGTGTTAGCCAGGGTGGTCTCAATCTCCTGACCTCGTGATCCATCCGTCTCGGCTTCCCAAAGTGCTGGGGTTACAGGTGTGAGCCAATGCGCCCGGCCCCTACCATTTTTCAATCAAGGGACATCAGAGGAGTGGGAAACCATGCGGAAGCAGGACCTGGAAGATGCTCAGTTCTTGTTGCTGGTGTCTCGGTACCTTGAGCTCTTTGTCTGGGGACAGTGACCGGCCTGGGAGGCCCAGGAATCAGTGGCTATGTTGAGTGAAGACTTTAGGGGATTAGTCTTGGCACCACTTAGGCAGCAGAGGAACCGTTGGAGAGAAGGCGGTGATGCTGGCTGCTCGCGAACCAGCGCGGGAGGGAAGCCTGACGGGGGCGAGGTGGCTTTTTGCAAGACGGCGTGTAAGCTCAGCAACTGCATTTTTCGGAGGAATTAGGGATGGGACGCGGCCAGCCCGCTCTGGTTGGAGCTTGGTGCTGTGACTCATTCTCATCAAAGGTCATTGAGCGTCTCTCTGCGCGTGGCCTTGGGCTGAACTCCTCACCTGGCCAGCCTTCTCGAAAATGTGTGTCATTCCTTGTGAGGCAGAGCTGTGGAGCGGGTGAGTGAGTGTGCAAATCAGTGGAAATTCATCCGCACCGCTGGAAAAACAACTCCAAGTTCATGACTCGTTGGCTTCGGAGGCGTGACTGTGAAGAATGGAGCTGACATTTTTGTTTTTTCACCCAACACACCCAAGTGGACGGATCCAGATGACTCTCCTGTCCATTTAGGAACCACCTGGGGAGGTGAAACACTTCTTCCACTGGCCTGGAGGGCCATTTTACCAGCCCCACGGGGGGAAGCTGGTCTTGTTCCTTTACGGCCTCAGATTTTATCCAAAGACAACATCACCCAGGCATGATCCCTGAGCCTGTTCACCAGATTTGACACCCAAGGGTTGAGGTTGGATGCAAAAGTCCTTTGCAGGTCCAGGGGCTGAGGAGCTGCCACCATCTGGGAAATTCAGGAGTCCCCGAGGGCAACTCCCAAAGGCAAGTCTCAGGAATGTGTTGGGCCCGTTGGAATACTGTTGGAATAAGTGAGCCGTCCTCACTCTGCCTTTCCCAACACACGGGGGTCTTACCCAACGGGATGTGTGCATGTGAGTGTGGATGTGGAATGTTCTAGCTTGTTAGAAAGTCAGAAAGTCAGCCTCAACATGTTGTGGTCGGGCCTCGTGGGTTTGTGTACCGAGTCTCTTTGAGAGGCACGGTGAGTAAGAGCAGGGACTCTGGAGCCAGGCTACTAGAGTTCAGATCCCAGGCTCACCACTTAGAGATGGGATAGCCTTGGTCAAATTACCTCCTCTCTCAGTTCTTCCATCTGTAAAATGGGGCTCAGCTGGGTGCGGAGGCTCACGCCTGTAATCTCAGCACTTGGGGAGGCCGAGGCGGGCGGAACACTTGAGCCCAGGAGTTCGAGACCAGCCTGGCCAACATGGTGAAACCCCGTCTCTAGTAAAATACAAAAAAAATTAGCTGGGCGTGGTGGTGGGCACCTGTAAATCCCAGCTACTCAAGAGGCTGAGGCAGGAGAATCGCTTGAACCTGGGAGGTGGAGGTTGTAGTGAGCCAAGATCATGCCACTGCACTCCAGCTGGGCGATAGAGGGAGACTCCATCTCAAACGAAAACAAAAACAAAACAAGCAAACCAAAAATAAATAAATAAAAAACTTAAATAAAATAGGGCCCTGTGAGAGTCCCGTCTGGTTGGTGTTAGGACGAATTGGCCTTGGTGTGTCACAGGAATGAAAGGGGACGGCCTGTCACCCTCCCCAGCTCATCGTCATTGCCCCTCCTAGCTGCTTGGGACTGGAAAGCTTTGAGACCTGTGGCCTCAGACTAGGGATGTGTGTGTGGCCCTGCAGTCCCCGGAGATGTGGCCTTGTGCCAGTCCCAGCGCTTCAGGGAAGAGGCAGGACAGAAGTGAGGGGAAGATGTGTTTCCCCAGGGGGAAAATAAACCCACCCTAGAACGGGTCAGTGGTTGGCAAACTCCCTTTTAGCCGACAGAATCCTACATGGAATCTAATGAGATAGGGCAGAAGAAAGCCGAGTTGCTTGGGTTGACATTAGGGAGGCCCCATGGGCTGGCCCACCCCTCAACCCCAGGCTCACCCTTGATGTGAGGCCACTGAATCCTGGGGCTCCTTGAGGTCGTTTTTAGAAACTGCTGGTCAGAGAAAGGAGGTGATTCCCCGTGGTCCCTCAGCTGGCTGCGTTTGTGAGAGTTGATTTGAGAGCCTGACCCCTGTGGAAAACGCACGACCGTACTGTGTGCCCTTTAAGCCTCGTGACAGCCACTACCTTTGTTAAACATGAGCCCAGTGTCCAAGTGTAGTGGAATCCACCCAGGTTGGGGGAATCTGCAGAGTCCTCCATCCTCCATCCACACCAGCCTGCACACTGACCACAGCTGGGAATTTCTTAAAGACAGAGGGATGGGAATGCCTGGACATGGACCCTTTAGGTTCTCTACTTTGTTTAATTTTATTTTTATTTTTTGTTTTTTGTTTTTTTGTTAGAGACGGTCTCACTCTGTCATCCAGGCTGGAGCGCAGTGGTGCAATCATAGCTCACTACAGCAGTGAACTCCTGCGCTCAAGCAATCCTCCCACCTCAGCATTCCGAGTAGCTGGGACCACAGGCACGCACCAGCATGCCCAGTTATTATTATTATTATTTTTAAATCTTTATGTAGAGATAGCGGTCTCTCTGTGTTGCTCAGACTGGACTGGAACTCCTGGGCTCAAGCGATCCTCTCACCTCAGTGTCCCAAAGCACTGGGATTATAGGCATGAGCCACTATGCCCAGCCTAGGTTCCCTACTTTATTTTATTTTATTTTATTTTTGAGACGGAGTCTCGCTCTGTCGCCCAGACTGGAGTGCAGTGGCGCGATCTCGGCTCACTGCAAGCTCCGCCTCCCGGGTTCACGCCATTCTCCTGCCTCAGCCTCCGGAGTAGCTGGGACTACAGGCGCCCGCCACCACGCCCGGCTAATTTCTTTTTTGTATTTTTAGTAGAGACGGGGTTTCACCGTGTTAGCCAGGATGGTCTCGATCTCCTGACCTTGTGATCCGCCCGCCTCGGCCTCCCAAAGTGCTGGGATTACAGGCTTGAGCCACCGCGCCCGGCCTGGTTCCCTACTTTAGATTAACTCACAGTTTCTTAGCCTTTGGCATGTCTAACAATTAGAATTCAACTTGAATACACAAAACCACACACTTTGCATAATTATTGATTTAAGTGACTTTCCAGGGTATTTTGACAGTCAGTTATTTTTACCTTCTGTGTGACTTTATCAACCGTGTGCCTCCACCCGGGATGGGGTGCCCCTGAGGACTCAGCCCTGCCTCTTGGTTCCACACTGTCAGAGGTGCCTTCTTGCTGGAGGAGTTCCCCTACAGTTATTCTAGGAAGCCCAGTGTAGACCCACCATATTTCCCTAAATCCTGGTGACTTAGGGCACCTTGATGCCCAGTGTGGTGTCTTGAGTGTGAATCTGAGCATTTGGCTCACATTGTGTAGCAGTCAGAGGGGAAGGATTGTGTCTTTGCGGCTGAAAGTTGGCCCTGCTGCTGCCTGGCCCTTTCCTTCCTGGAAATGTTTCCCGCCCCACTCTGTAGCGGGTAACGATCAGACAGGTGGGTGAGCAGCAGACTGGCTGTGGTCTCATGTTTTTTCCTGTTTGGGGCATCTTGGAATTAACAAAGCAGGAGACAGAGGAAAGAACGATAACAGTTGGAGATACAATGTCTCTAAAACATGGATGTCCAGCCCCAGTTCTCCAGTTGGGAATGGAAAGATTAAAAAAAAAAAAAAAGGAACAAAAAGAAATGGAAGTAATGATGTAGATTTTGGCCAGGAAGAGGGACAGGGTTTGGGGCTACATGTTGTTTGAGGAACGGCCCCAGGAGAACAGAAGTTCAGATAAATCAGAGGTGAGAGGGAAGGCATCCAGAGGCAACAGGATATTGGAGGTGGGGCAGTGGCTGAGAATCAAAAGCCTTGGCTACCAATCCAGGCCATATACCATCAGCTCATTTTAGCACTCTGAGCAATTCATGTTGCTTTTCTGAGCCTCAGTGTCCTCACCTATAAAATGGAGATAATAATCCCCAATTCCCTTACAAGGTAGTTGTGAAGACCAAATAAGCCAAGGCAAAGAGGACATGCTTTAAGTGCTATAAGAATAATAATAACAACAAGTAAAGTACACTTCTATTGGAAACAAACTGGGAAAAGGTTGAGAAAGATGAACTTTACTGCTAATAAAATATCCAGGAAAATTGGAAAGATGATGGAGAGTCATTGGAAGAAACTTCAGGCAGAAGAAATGTATAAACCACCCGTTTCTCTAGTCTTAATCAAGGTCTCCACAACTTCAGCCATGCAGGAGAGTTAAGAATCCCTCTGAGCGGGTGAGGCAGGACTGGTGTTCAATGAACGTCTGTTGGTTGTCAGTATTTGTGGAGGCTGATGGGGGTCTTGGGCTCCCTATGGGGAGTGTGGAGGACATCCTGAGGAAGATGTTTGCCATGACAGGTTTAATTATCATTACTCCTCTGCTGTGTTCCCATTCCCAGATGGTGGTTAAGCAGTGCTTGTCAACACTCAGAATTGTTTGTTAATTTGCCCGCCCATCCATCCATCCATCCATCCATCCATCCATCCATCCATCCATCCATCCATCCACCCACCCAGTGAACTAAGATTTACTGATCCTCGTTCTACATCAGGCACTGTGCTTGGTGATGCGGAGAGTAGTGAGCAGAAGAATGGCAATCCCTTGCTTTCGTGGGGCTCTCACAGTCCAGTCTAGAGTTAGACAGGTAAGTATCATAAGCTGTGATTAAGCAGTGGGGAGGCACAGGTTGCTATCCAATACCAGGCAGCAGTTCCCTGGGGGTGGGGCAGTGGGATCATTAGGAACAACTTCTGGAAGGAAGGACAGGGAGGAGTTAGCCAGATGCACGGGGGCTGCTTTACTAGAGGGAGAATGAATTGGCACAAAGGCTGGTACATCTGGGAGCAGGTAAGGGATGGAGCGTGAGCATCCTGTCCTCTGGAATCTCTGGCTTCCGACTGCATTTTAAAGATGAGTACCTGAGAGTCTCCACGAATTCTGGCAGAAACATTCAGCTTCAGCCTTAACCACATTTCAGGGTAGCTTCTGTTCTTAGATCTTCTTTATGGCTGAGGTTTTATGTTCCAGAACATGACTTGCTCAGTGTCTTTTAGAAGGAGTCAACCAGGGTACCTGGGCCTAACCTCTGGGCAACCTGCAGTGGCAAATAAGATAGAAAAGTGAGACTCTGTGGGCTTCTAGGATAGAGAAGCCGTCCCTGGAGCGTCTCCAAGGAAAAGGTGATCTCCTGAGTCGCCCCACTGAACTTCTCCAACAAGTTTTAGTGAGTCAGGCAGACAAAAGTCTTCCTGGAGCCGATATCCTGGAGAAATGATGTGGTTTGCTCCAGGAGACAGGGTTCAGCCCCCTTTCCACGCTTCTCTTTTACTTTGAACCCATTCTTTGAAGGACATAGAAGCCGATTTAGTAGGTCTGGAGTGCATCCATCTGGAAAGAAATGGAACATCTAGGGATGCCCCCATGGCTCCTACAATCCTAATGACTCCTCGGTGTCTCCCTCTGCTCCACGTCCAGCCTTGGGTTCTGGGGGAGGAGACCCACGGGCAGGAAGAGGGCCTGAGATGCCAAAGCAGCAGAAGTTTGATGGTACAGGGCCCCAGATCCTTTGTGCAGCCCGGAGCTGAGGTTGTGATGGAAGGACCCCTTCTGTGGACCCCCTGTTGCTATGCTGAGGGAGTAGAACCCTGCTCCAGGGTGGTGGGGTCACCGTTCTTGGGGGTAGGAGATGCCCAGGGGGTGAGCTGCAGCAACTTGTACATCATCTCTTGTGCCTTCTGGAAGCTTTTTCAATGTCTGAAACACTTCTTCCTCAGCTTTGGACTTTTTTCTAGTCCCTTTAAAAATGTGTCTGTACAATGAGATAGGCTGGGGAGCTTTTCTTCTCCTCCCCGTCTGTATTGATGGCTTTGATAGTGAGCAGTGTCTCTTTTTTCCTTAACACTATTCTTTCCTCTAGCACCCCTTCTAGCTGGTCCCCATCCCTGAGGAAGTGGTTCCCCAGCGGGCCTGTTTCCTGGCCCCCAAGGATGTGGTTCCCCCTGGAGGAAGTGGTACCCCAGTGGGCCTGTTTCCTGGCCCCCAAGGAGGTGGTTCCCCCTGGGAAGTGGTTCCCCAGCGGGCCTGTTTATGGGCCCCGAAGGAAGTGGTTCCCCTGAGGAAGTGGTTCCCCAGTGGGCCTGTTTCCTGGCCCCCAAGGAGGTGGTTCCCCCTGGGAAGTGGTTCCCCAGCTGTTTATGGGCCCTGAAGGAAGTGGTTCCTCTGAGGAAGTGGTTCCCCAGTGGGCCTGTTTCCTGGCCCTGGAGGAAGTGGTACCCCAGTGGACCTGTTTCCTGGCCCCCACAAGGAGGTGGTTCCCCCTGGGAAGTGGTTCCCCAGTGGGCCTGTTTATGGGCCCTGAAGGAAGTGGTTCCCCTGAGGAAGTGGTTCCCCAGTCGGCCTGTTTCCTGGCCCCCAAGGATGTGGTCCCCCCGGGAAGTGGTTCCCCAGCAGGCCTGTTTATGGGCCCCGAAGGAAGTGGTTCCCCTGAGGAAGTGGTTCCCCAGTGGGCCTGTTCCCTGGCCCTGCAGGAAGTGGTACCCCAGTGGACCTGTTTCCTGGCCCCCACAAGGAAGTGGTTCCCCCTGGGAAGTGGTTCCCCAGTAGGCTTGTTAATGGGCCCTGAAGGAAGTGGTTCCCCAGCGCACCTGTTTCCTAACTGCCAAGGAAGTGTTTCCTCAGCAGGCCTGTTTTCTGGCCCTGGAGGAAGTGGTTCCCCTGAGGAAGTGGTTCCCCAGTGGGCCTGTTTCCTGGCTCCCTGAGGAAGAGATTCCCCAGCAGGCCTGTTTCCAGGCTCCCTGCCGTCTCCCCAGTGTCTTCGGCACATTGTTGACATTTGTAACTGAGGTGACCAATGACCTTGGTAGCTAAATGCAGCCCCCTGTGTGACCTCTGAAGCACGGCACACATGGACCTCTCTATCCCCTCTGGAATTCTCTCCTCATTGCTGCTCAGGCCTCGTCTGCCTCCCTCCTTGACTGGTCCTCCTTGCTGCCTTCCCTGGAGCCCTCTATACTTCTGGTCTCAGCGATCCCATTCGCCGTTAGAGTTAAGAGATGGATGGTTCCAGTTATCCATCTCTGTTCCAGTCTCTCTAGAAGCATCCAATAGTGTTATCTCTGACTTAGAACGTTTGAAATCTGATTGTAATATTGCAAAATATATATTTGGTCTTGGTCCCTGTTTCTTAGCACACAACTCCTAAAATCCTTGGGAACTTCAAAGTGATCAGATGTCTTTTGTATGCTAATGATTGATTGGTGGCTGGCAGCCTCCAGGTAGCTTCAGGATGGAGGATGGTTACCAGAAAGACCACAGCAGGGTGAGAGGGCTTGGACTTTGGCTCTCCCCGCCCCACCTCTGATGAAGCAAGAGGGGTTGAAGGTTGAAGGTTGGGCTGATCACCCATGGCCAATGATTTAATCAGTCATGCCCGTGTAATGAAGCCTCCATAAAAACTCAGAAGGAAAGGGTTTGGAGAGCTTCTGATAGCTGAACACGTGGAGGTTCCTGGAGGGTGATGGTCCCAGGGAGGGCATGGAGCATGTCTCGTCTTGTGTATCTCTTCACCTGTATTCTCTGTAATATCCTTTATAATTAACCAGCAAATGTGTTTCCCTGAGCCACTCTAGCAAATTAATTGAAACTGAGGAGGGGCTCAAGGGAACCTTGACTTATAGCTGGTTGGTCAGAAGCACAAGTTAAACAACCTGGGGCTTGTGGTTGGCATCAGAAGTGGTGGGGGCAGTCTTATGGGACTGAGCCCTCAACAGATGGGATTTGACACTATATCCAGGTAGATAGCGTCGGAATTAAATTGGAGGACACCCAACTGGTGTCCATTGCACAGTTGTTTGCTTTGTTGTTGGGGAAGAAAATCCTCTCACACTTCTTGGTGACCAGAGGTGTTGATTGTTGTAGGGTGAGAGTGAGGAGAAACTGTTTCTTCTACAGACTCATCTTAATGACGGAAACGTACTTCCTCTGTGGTTATCTCTATGCTAATGAAGATCACCCAGGAGCCCATATTAATCTTTGATGTCTCAACCAGTCACCTAATCTTGTTGATTATCCCCATGCGATGTTTGGTTTGCACCTGTTTCATTCCATTTATCACCAACACCCAAGCTCTGTTTGCATGGAGACCTTCGTACCCACCCAGATAGTCTCCTCACCTCTTGTCCTCCACCCTCAAACCCACCTGTCCCACCTGTCCCACCCATCCACACATCCTGCCATGAAGTGCCACCTTCCATCAAGACAGGTTGGAAGAAGACTGCTGTCACAGAGAGAGAGCTCTGGCCTCAGGTGGGCCTTTCTCAACATCTTCACTCCTGGGAGGAGATTGATGACAGTCCCTTGCAGATATGAACAGCAGGAGGCTAGGGGTCAGAGGTGGGATAGCCATAGAGGAAGTACTTTCATGCCTTAAGGTTGCCTTCAGCCTTAAGTCAGTAGTCGGCTGGACAATGAAGAAAGTCAGATAAATATTCAAAAATTCACTTTTAACCTTACGTAAGGCCTGGAAGGGCACTTCCATTTGCCAACTTTGCTGCAGGGCCAAGACATTTTCTCCGACTTTGGGTCTGCTGGGTGGGTTCTGTGTTGTCTCCTGCACAAACCTTGTCTCCAGTCTGCAGTTTGTTTCATGAAAGTGATGTGATTCCTCAGATAAGCTTGAAGTTATCTGAGTTCAAAATCTTGTTTTTTTGTTTGTTTGTTTTTGAGACTGAGTCTTGCTCTGTCGCCCAGGCTGGAGTACAGTGGTGTGATCTTGGCTCACTGCAACCTCCGCCCCCTGGGTTCAAGTGATTCTCCTGCCTCAGCCTCCTGAGTAGCTGGGATTACAGGTGCCCACCACCACACCCAGCTAATTTTTTTGTATTTTTAGTAGAGATGGGGTTTTGCCATGTTGGCCAGGCTGGTCTCAGACTCCTGACCTCAGGTGATCCTCCTGCCTCAGCCTCTCAAAGTGCTGGGATTAGAGGCATGAGCCTCCATGCCCGGCCAGCATCTTGTATTTTTAAAAATAATTTTGCCCCAATCTTTTTTGGATATCTCCTCTACACCTCATTTGACAGCTGCATTTTGTAAATGTAGTAACTGGCTTTTGTTGAGTCTTTACAGTTGAGTTTTCATGGAAACAACCACACTTTTCACACTGTTTTAAATGGGCTGAAAACATGTACAACTGGCTGGTGAGGGCAGCTGCGCTCCGGCACGAGGCAGAGTGTGGGACCGTGAGCCGCACATCCACACCGCCTGCTGCAGCCGCCGGACACGGGGCTTCACAGAGAGGATAGGAGGTCTGCGTTACTCTACGAGTGCGTTGAGTAGAGATTGGCCATGAGAGTTTCTTGCTTTTTTTTTTTTTTTTTTTTAATTTTGGATGACAGAATCAGTTTATGAAATGATCTTGATTGGCTAAGATGATGGAACCAACCAAATCCATGAAACGTTGGGAGGATAAATCCGAAGTCTTCCTTAGGTCTAAAGAATGAATTGCACCATTACCATTACCGTGTTATAGATACTTACATTAGCAGTGAGATTCAAGGGTTTTAGCTGAGGGGTGGATTTATTTGAGTCAACCATGGATGTGGTTGCCAAAGGAAGTCAATGTAAGCTTTAGTCATCATAGTTATCTAGTGTCTAGAGACAGGAGGTTGTAGAGGACACTGACCACCCCCCTCAATACCCTTTCCATCCCTTGTCCTCCGTGTTCTGCCATTGGTGTTGGGGGATTGTCTGTGTGTTTTTGTTTTTTTTTTTTCTGAGATGGAGTCTTGCTGTGTCGCCCAGGTTGGAGTACAGTGGCGTGGTCTCGGCTCACTGCAACCTCCGCCTCCCGGGTTTAAGTGATTCTCCTGCCTCAGCCTCCCAAGTAGCTGGGATTACAGGCGTGCACCACCACGTCTGGCTAATTTTTGTATTTTTAGAGGAAGAGTTTCACCATGTTGGCCAGGCTGGTCTCAAACTCCTGACCTCAGGTGATCCGTCCACCTCAGCCTCCCACAGTGCTGGGATTACAGGCATGAGCCACCGCACCCAGCCGATTGTCCATGGTTTTGTAATCCAGTCAGGATGAGTCCATCATCCTTGCCACGTGATTAATCAAAACACAGCATTTTCCTGGCTATAGGAATTGGTTCAGGGATGGTCATGTGACCTGGTTCGGTCTAATGAAGCATGAAGGGACATTGGCTGAAGGCTTTTGTAAATAAGGTACCTAGCTCTTCTGTGGGGGATTCTGGAAACTAGCCCTCTTTCTCACCTTGAATGCTGTGGTGTGTAGTTACGAAGCCTGGAACTGCTACATCCCCTTTGCTATCACTGGGAACACCCACTGAAGGATGATATTGAGACCACGAAGGCATAGAGGACCTAGAAGGACAGACAGGAGACACCAAGTCCTGGATCCCTCCCTGAATGAACCCTGTTCTACCTCCGGACCTTCGGTTACCCAAACCCACATAATTCAAGCCATTTGCGGTCGAGTTTTCTGTTAGTTGGCACAGAGATGAATCTTCGCTTCCTTGGGGAGAGACAGATTTGCTTTGAATATTGCATTTGCTTCTGGGCTCTGGCCTTTGAGAGGCACATTGAGGAGGTGCAGAGTGGCTGATGAGAGCCACTGGGCTGGAGAAGGGGTTTGAAAAAGCGTCTGTCATGGGGGTGATGATCCACTTTTGGTTGTCGATCATGTTAGCATTCTTTCAAATGGAAAGCTTACGAAATACGTTTCCAAAAGGATACAGTTTGTAGAAATGCAGAATTGTTAACTTTTAAGAAGCACGTGTCGTGCATGAGATAAGATGTTCCTGTAGCTTTCACTAACGTGCTGGGGTTAGCAAGAGAAAAATTCCATGAAGGTACAGGATGATTTAAATAAAAAGAGGCTGCCTTGTCTAGTTGTTGTGTGGGAGGGAAACCCAAACCCCAACATGTCCTCATTCCAGTGTAGAAACGGCCACCGGAGTGTTGTTTTCACAGGATGCTGTCACCGGGTGGCCCTTTGGGAAGTGGGGGTGACTCGTTGCAGAGATTTCCATCTGGGGGACAACACCCTAAGCACCAGCTCCTTTTTCCTGCTCCACTCCAGAGCATTGGTGGGAGGAGACCTCTGGGCATTCCACAGCCTTCCTGTGGGCCTCTTCGGCTTTGGTTGTATTCTTTGCAATGTTTTTGTGTTTTGTTTTGTTTTGTTTTGAGAAGGAGTCTCACTCTGTTGCCTGGGCTGGAATGCAGTGGCACGATCTCGGCTCACTGCAACCTCCGCCTCCTGGGTTCAAGTGATTCTCCTGCCTCAGCCTCCCAAGTAGCTGGGACTAC